CATATATATATATATATATATATATATAGTGTTAAGGGTACATTTTCTGTGTTAATTACTTCCACCATCGAAGGTGACGGAGGCTATGTTTTCACCCCTGTTTGTGTATGTTTTATGTGTTTGTCAATAATGACTGAATTGATTTGGATGAAAGCTGGTGTACATTTGGACAATGATACAAAATTGATTAGAGTTTGGGGGGTCAAGATCAAAAGTCAAAGTCACAGAAAAGTCGCGAATATAAAATAAATCCCTATTTCTTAACATGGAGACCGATTTTCATACTATTCTTGGTCTATAACTCAGTCCAACATTATCGGTTTCTGATGAAATTTGATGAACATATGCAGAATGTTATTCCTAATTGTTCTGCCAAAAAGGATCCGTATCTGTTGATAATGACAGAAATACGGATGTAGTTTTATATTGTTTGAGGGCCGAATATGATCAACGATGCGTAGCGGAGGTATACCCTCTTCTGAGTGCTCCTCTAGTTACTTCTAACGTAGTTACAAAAATGGTATATTTCAATTTACAAATCCGATCATATATATATATCATACCATAAGGTAATACACGGAGGTATTTACTTCATAATATTTCGTTATGAGAACCTGTACAATAAAATGTGGTGGCAAAATATCAGCAGGTGTCGCTAGTGCATTCTAAGATTTCCATTTGAAACAAACCCTTGTTTTATATAATCTCCACAGTACTCAAATGAAATTATGGTCTTGTTATTTAGTGATTCTGGATTTTGTCAGCAGAATCTCATTACTGATCAGCTCCAACGAGCACTTGATTTGCTATTTTCAACTTGAATGTCGCCCTAAGTGATCAGATTAGAAACCACTAAGTCACCACGAATCCAGAAGTACTGACCAGAGGTAGGGCAATGAATCATCACTACCCTCTACCTATGTCAATACTCTGAAATGAACAGCGAAATTAATTTTGACAATCATAATATCCCAGAGCTGTAAATGTGGAGTACATTCAGTGGCGTATTACAGCTCGAACTTTGAATCTTCCGATCTACAGCTAACCATAGTGGTAGAAGATACAGAGATGTGAAAGCGTAGATACTTTTCAAATAGTTGCAACACAAGCACAGCATTCACATCCTGAACAATAGTGACATTACTAGCTACGTGAGGGGTGACCAACTGAAGCAGTGTCTTTACAAAAAAATCTATAGGGTGTAAAGGTTTGTTAACAGGTTTAGCGACTGGGATTTTACCTGTAAAAGATTACTGTCACGCTTATAATGATGGAACGGAAAGTGACTGTCAGCGCCTGAGAGGTTCTCTTGAGTATTTGACTTCGCCTGTTTACAGTTTCGGAAAGAATAGTAAATGTAGGCGAAATCATGTGTGCAGTCATACAGCACGCTTGTATTGACGTAAACGTCCCTTGCTCAACTCTTTCTGCTACATCTCATTAGACTGGGATGAAAATGACAACATTTTCTGTGTTGATCAAAGCTGAACGGAATGCATTGTACAATAAGCAAACAATCCCATAGTAAGATATGCTAGTTAGACTTCTAAAGTTACTGAGCCCTTAATTAATGAGTGAAACAGCGTACCTCTCCACTATGTTAATACATTTAATGTTGTGTATCTTCCGTCGTGGCTCATTAGGCTTAACTTCATGAAATTTTAAGGCGATTACGACAGATAATATGAATTGCAACGAGGGCACCAAACTAGTAATTCAATAAATTCCAATAAAAATTTATATATCATATACGGTATTAAAATTAATATCGATCTTTCTTCAGTTGAAATTAGTAGCTTTGCAAATTACACTACAGTAATTCACTGACATTGAATTTAATACATCTAGTTAATAAGCAGAGCCAATTTGCCTGCACTTATCTATGTCTCAAATATTTTTAGATTTGATAATGGATTACTTTATTAGATATAGATAATAGTTTACTTCTCTTCTAGGCGTTTCTGGTTCAAGTAAATCTATTTATCGAGTTAGGGTTTTATGGAATAGATGACTGAGCTCGAGACTGGACATAAAATGACTTGAATTATAATGTATTCTAATTTAATAGAGCAGCACATGGAAAACTGGCTATATTCATTATAACATTATAACACCCACACGGCTGAAAGAGCGAGCATGTTTGGTGTGACGGGGATTCGAACCCGCGATCCCCAGATTGCGAGTCGAGGGCCCTAACCACCTGGCCATGCCGGGCCGCAAAGAATTAGTTGCTCACAGTTTACGTAAAACAACAATACTCAAACCTTACCTGTAAACCATACCGTGCACCCACGAAATCCTCCCCGTTGGCCCATAATCTGGCCTCGTTTCGCTCTGGAAACATGGTGTGTTTGTTCGAAAACATTTGTAGCTTTCTGTTGAGACTGAAAAATGAACTTACATTAGCTTCGCAAGAGCTCATATTTAAAATAAATAGGGGTAGTTAATCACACTTTGTCAGAACGATTTGCATATACTAAAGAAGTGATAAATCACTGAATATGAGATCCGTGATACCACAGGCAGCATGTTTAGCACCTGTATATTTCGTTCAGCGCAAATTTCTGCACAAGATGCTTCCACGAGTAGATTTATGGTAGGACAGTTATCTTTTTTATTTTTCTCCGAAAGGTGGCCGAAGACTGCCTGTAGAGGTCACCTGTTTTAATCACTCGCACCACAATACAGTAGTGTATTGTTTGTTAGTCAGTCAATAGACACTAAAATGACGTCACATGAGGGACACTTAACGTCGCAATTTGTGCTATCGTGACTTCAGTAAAACATGCATAAACCATGATTCACGAGAAGAATTATCCACTCTGTGGGCTACAACACCGCGTGACATATGAACTTCAAAACCAAGAAATAAAAATTTTTGTTTACTCTTAACTTTGGTTTTATTTACTCGTGAAACAGAACATTTTCGGGGAACCTGTAGAAGTACATCTAATATATATATATATATTGTCTTTCTGAATAGAATTATTCATACAAGGATACTGTTAAATGATGTAGAACCAATGAACACATAATTTCAAAGGAAGGAGCCTTCAATGTTCTCCTGAAAGCGGATAAACTCTCACAGCGGAGGTTTGGGGCAGCAATGGGCTCAGTAACTCATTCCAAGCTAATCGGGAGCAACATATTCATCCGCGAAATTACTTTTACCATTAAAATAAAAACCTCCAATTCAAAAGCAATTACTGTGAAACACAAACACCTCGAAATCAAAGACTGTTTTCATGAAGAAGAATCTGGAATGACAGTAGTCTCCTTCACCCATATGCCTGTTAAGTCTCCCAATGAAGAAGAGCTTTAATGAACTTAAGTTTGTGTGTTTGTTTTTGAATTTCGCCCATAGCTACCCGAGGGTTATCGGCGCTAGCCATCCATAATTTAACAGTGTAAGAGTAGAGGGAAGGCAGCTAGTCATCACCACCCACCGCCAACTCTTGGGCTACTCTTTTATCAACGAATAGTGAGATTGCCGGTCACATTATAACGCCACCACGGCTGAAAGGGCGAGCATATTTGGTGGGATAGGGATTCGAACAGCGACCCTCAGATTGCGAATAGAGCGCCCTAACCATCTGGCCATGCCGGGCCTCATGAACTTAAGAGCCTTTGGCTTAAACATGCTATTGGAAACTGACGTCTATATACAGTGGAAGGTATGTGCATAGACTGTCAAGATGTGTGTGGTCTAAGACTGCGCTTACTGTTCTAAACATAAGTTTGTTACAATAGAAATCGCGAATTTGATCAGTAGTATGCAAACGTGGTCACCTGAACGAACACGACTGGGTATGGAAAATGTATTTCTAAGAACAGTAGGAGACTTGGAATATCGTTCTTATATAAACTGTGATTATCCTGAACAAAGTTCTGTAACATGGTTCACGATATCTGCATTTTCATATAAAACAGTGAGAAAACAAGCCGTTTTTCTTAAATACTTATATGACAAACTCAGTATTAGTGAACGTTTAGATTTATTTATTTCAAGATAGTTTTAATTATGATATTTGTAACCTTGGTTTGCTGTCTTTTATCAGAATACAGAGGTTTGTTTTTCATCACGAAATAATCCTGGTGTTTTTTTGTTTTCAGTTATTTGAAAAGTTCTGGTAGAAATATGTATAAAGTTTATTATAATTTTTCCTTACTTGAAATGACTATGTGTAGAATAACTTCAAGTCAGACCCAACATCACTGTCAACTAAAAGCTGAGAGGTGTTATCATTTACTTCAACTTTGATAAAATATTTGCTCTGTGCTGTCAAACATCCCGTCAAAGCGTGATAAAAGTAAAGGGAAAGATTAAGCTAGTTTTGTATCGCATGTTAAAGAACGTAAGAGGTCCAAAGGTGCCAAGAAACCTGAGTGTATAAGACTCGCTCAAAAATGGAGATAAATCACTGCCAAAGTCCTTTGGTAGTAGTATGTAAATTTACTCTTTAAACTAGATAAAACAAAATTTTTGTTCGTAGTTAAACACAAAGCTATACAAAGGGTTATCTTTGCTCTATATCGAAACCCAGTTTCTAGCGTTGCAAGTCCGCAGACATACCGCCGTGCAAAACAAAATGAAGAGCTAGCTTTGGATTCTTATTACTTGCTAAGTTTCCATTCCGTGTCTCTGGCGAACGTTTGGCATGACGGTAGGCTTAAGAAGTTGAGTAAAAAAGTAAAACATAAAACCAAATCCGGCAAAATATTTACATCATAATTTTTGTTTTAAAATTTATTTTTGGAGTTTACAATTTTTGAGGAAAAAATCCATCCACTTTCGATTTAGAGTTTTTTCCTTGATATGGTGCTGACAGTTCTAATATCAGCAGCGAGATAATTTTTGTATTAATTAACACGTTAAATGTAATATGAAATTTCCTGTTGCCAAATTCGGCTGTGAATAATAGGTATACTAAATTTATGCATCTTGTAGTGCCAACAAAGTCAAATAAACTATTAAAAAATAAAATTATTAGGTCATAGCAAACGGACATTTTAATTTGTGCAGCGCATAGCTTACTAAAAATAACTACCATTTTCAAAATTAAGAACTTTTCAGTAGTAACAAAATAAATAAAACAAATTGTTACTTACGTTTCGAGTTTTCGTCGTCGTCAGGGTGGGATTTCGTCTTATTGAATATCCAGTGAGATATATTTCACAGTTTTGTGGAAATCGATTTGTGAAACAGTAAAATTCAGTTTATATTAAGTATATTTAGACACTTAATAAGGAAAGATTAATTTCTCAGGAAAGGAAGTTAAATATTTCGTCTAATATTATTTGAGATAATGAACATTAAAGTAATACATCCAAATCAATTAGTCAACCACAACAAATAAATTAATTAACCACAACAAACAAAATAGTTTCTAAGAAATGCGTAAGACGAAAATGTATAATAGATAAACCATGTGTGTATAATGTGAAGTACACAAACTAGTCTTTGAACATCAAAACCTACGTAAACAGTATTCCATTAGTTTAACCTAATTCTTTTTCACATGCCCCCAGTAGCACAGCGGTATGTCTGCGGACTTACAACGCTAGAATCCGGGTTTCGATACCCGTGGTGTGCAGAGCACAGATAGCCCTTTGTGTAGCTTTGTGCTTAATTACAAACAAACAAACTTTTTCACATATCTCATGTTTAAGAAACTTATAAAGAAACTCAGACACAAAGACAATGCTAAAGCTATACGGTGGATTAGTAAATATTCATGTTGCCATGACATGTTCTACAACACTAAAAACACACGGAAGTAATCTAACAACATTATACTATATACCTAAAATATAGCGCATCAAGCCACGCGTTTAACCCTCGCTGAATTCCCAGTACTCCACATGTAGGCTTGTACAAACGATGTCATTAAGATTTTCTCTTCATCTTTTTCCCAAATATACTAGATCTTTAACTATATTTTTGTTGTTTTCCTCTTAAAAGTTCTTCTTTTTCTGCTAGCGTGAGTTTATTTATTGAAAAAATGAAATCTTTGTAAGTTGCAGAAGTGTCTTCTTTCGTCTAGTCAATCTCTGGAGTGTTAAAATCTTGTCTCATAAAACTTTAAAGTTGCGAAAAATGACGATAACATGCTAAAGTATATCTACTCTTTCCTGATAATCATGCCATTATCATATTGACTGAGACAAAACTAGAATCGTTATTATATAAATCATGTTATATTCAAGGTTTAATGAAATAGAAATCGTGAAACGTTTTAATTGTTTTTCTTATCGAACATAATTAGCTCATAAGGCAATATCTTTAAAAATCAATTTTTCTTACATAATATGCTTACAGAATATACAGTACATATTTTATCGCCACTTCCTGTGGCTAATTTGGGTTCGGAATATTGTGTACATATATGTTGTATAATTATACCAAACGTCAAAAGAACGATCCCAAGTCTTTGTTGCCTTGATTTTGTCCAAAATTAGAAAACTGGACCTTAGCAAAGTGTATAGTGGAGCAAACTTCTGGCGTTTAAACTCTACTATCCAAAACATTGCATTTTTGTGAATAATTAGCTATATGGAAACTTTCAATCAGAAAACTTGATAAAATTAAATGCCGTTTTTTATGATAACGAAAAAAAAATTAAACCAATAAAATCTGAGAAAGACTTATCTTTAAAATAATCTAAATTAAGAATAAGATATATTCTAAGTCATGCATACCGTGTATAAAGGTGCAGGTCGAGACATAATGATCCTGAGTTACGAAGTCCGTTCAATTCTAAAATCTAATAATTCCGCTTTTCTTTACTATGTTTTAATTACATTTGTTTTCACACTAGTACAACGAACAAAATACAGTCTAGGTATGAGTTACGGTTTCTTGTTCTTTCTCCAAACGTTTTGACCTGTTTTCCTCTATATCTGTCGTTCACAGAGAAATCTCCACTGACACAAGAAAATCCTTGAAACCTGACGTCATGTACTCCTACCTACAAAACATAATTAAACGGAAAACGCTAAGTCATTCCTATTGGTTCTTTTTTTTTTCTTTAAGATTACTGTGTATATTATCTCCTTCATTTTTGTCACTTTGAAGTACTATGTAAAGTATATAATGACTAAGCACTTTTAGTGTAATCAGCACAGAACAAGGCTATTTTGAAAACGTTTCACAAGGTGTATTATTAGTAGAATATATTAATTAAAATGTACACAGCAAAATTAATGCGAAAACAACCTGAAAAACACCTACACGTGACACTCTTATCCTAAAATCGTTTACACGACAATCACAAACCATTTTTCTGCTTAAACATTAAACATTTTCAAACAGTCACTTATGTACAAATTCAATGACGTGGCGCCGTATAGCTAATTTTTAACACTATACGTGTACAATGACCCTACTGTTCCTTTCAAACATATCCTCAGATCAAACCTTATCAGTAACGTTTAGCGCGTAGTTATAAGGGTTGATAGATACGTTCCTTGGGTACTGTACTGATATAATTTTACCACCATTTTTTATTTCTCTCTAATATATATTAAGTATTTGTGAATTGCTTTAAAAAATATAATACAGTACTTTCATTTATTATTCTATGAATAACTATCATTATCTAATTCATACTCGTTAGAGTACTTTTGAGTGGTAGAATTTGAACATTGCGTACGTTTATTGGAGTAAATATGTTTATATTAGATTGCCTTAGATTATTATTACGTACGAAATCTGTCCGTATTCGTTTATTACAAGTGTGTGACATAAAGTAATACTCATGGCTCTATTTAATGATTACCAGAGCCAGATTAGCTGCGTTCCTTACTTTTTGTTTGTTTGATAGCTTCCATTTCCAATGTCTAGAGGTTTCCATCTAGAAACTACTTAAAATTCACCCGACCCTTTTAATGTTCATTGTTGATGAAAGTGTATAGCTAAAGTACAATATGTTAAAGAAAACTTGTTCTCTGTTAATTCGATTGCTTTTGTAAGTGTGAAGAAAGGGATCATTTTTATTATTTAGTATAGATTATTGAAAATATTTATTACATTTAAAATAATTACTCCTCATCTCTCGAGCTGTTTATAACAACGTGTACTTGAATGATCACATATAACATTTATTTTGACCAGATCTTTCATTCGTTCAAGTAAGGATTACAAAAACGTATTAATATATACATACTAGCTTGTATATAAAACTCAAGGTCCAATTATATCAACGTTTTAGCAAAACCCTTGTTAAAAAGAATCATCCATAGACGACTTCATGAGTAAATAAGTTATGATATCATATATACACCAAATACTTCCAAATCATGTCACATATTTCAGAAAGATAAGTGGATTTGTGATTTATTTCCTCCCCTATGTTGTTAAGAGAAACTGCGAGAATCTCACTTCAATATAGCTTTGAGAGAGAATACGTGTTCTATCTTAATACGAACAAAATAATCAGTCTTTGACTAGTCAAAGCGAATGGTCTCTGGATCAGTTCAGGGGATTTTTTATGATCGAAGTTATAACTTTTGCACCGCAAAATAATTTATCTTCTAGATAAGTGAACATCAAAAACATCACGTAACGTTTATTGAGACTGTTCTACGAAAACAAAATCCAATCAATTACTTATACAGCCAGTTCTTTGGTGGATGAGTGGTAAGTTTACAGACTTAAACGCTAAAACCGAGGATCTATTCCTCGCGGTGGACTAGAACGTAGATATTCATTGTGTAGCTTTGCGTTAAAACTCACCAGCTTCATATAACTCCTCTGATAATTTCAAAAGTTATTTGACAGTACAGTAACCAATTTCTCTAAAGTACAACTGGGCATAGCCCAATGATTAGTGTGCTTAATTTGATATTTGTTTCCCGTTACCGCTAAAAATACATCGCGCTCCTCACTTTGAGACTATCAGGTAAAAGTAAACCAGGTGTTGACAGTGGGAGCTGTTGATTAGCTGTATTCCCTCTAGTCTATCAGCTCAAAATTAGGGACGGCTAGCGCAAACAGTCCTTGAGAAGCTTTGGAAGAATATTCAAACACAAAACAAATCATACGCATTCTACAGACAAAACGAAACTGTGTGGATGTCGGTAACTATAAATAAAATAGAAATGATGAACACAGGGCATATTTTTCCGCGTCGCACGTAGGAGAATAAAGTAGGCTTATAAAAAATACAGTTTCGAGTTTTGTTCTTACTAATATTTTTCATGACAACAAAATGGTTCGCAAAATTTTAATTAACTAAGAAAACAGTCTCTAGTATTTAACATTATAAAACAACATTGCCCAAAAATAGTTTTGTAAGATTTGTTTGTTTGAAGTTAAGCACAAAGCTACACAATGGGCTATCTGTGCTCTGTCCACCACGGGTATCGAAACTCGGATTTTAGCGTTGTAAGCCCGTAGACATGCCGTCGTGCCAGTGGGGAGGGGGGCTAATATTTGTGAAATACGAAACTATATTTTTTTAAAGTATAGCCAGCACCCACCTGAACAACAATCGTAATTTCAGAACAATAAGAGAATAATGTAATTAGTAAATAAACTGAATGTTCGGCACAAGGGGACATTTCACGTGAAATTTTCTTCATAGGGACAACATAAACATTTATAAATGTGTATAGGAGTATATTTCTATCTATATAGTTTAAGACCTTAGCATGTTTCACAGTAGTCTTTTTATGCAGGTTACATTGCGAACATGAGTTAATATCTCGAAAGATTGACTTCAAATCAACATTAATATGCAAATCACCATTATAAGAGGCCTAGTCTTGTTTTTGTTTTTTCTCAACTTGGCCTTCTCGAGGTTTCTGAACAGTGATGAAAATACCCTTAATCGCTAAAACTCAATGACAGATAGTGAACTGAATGATAGATTAGGCTTCCTATTTAGTTCTTTTTTAGTAACTTTAACTTTGATTTGAGTTTTTTGTTTCCGTCTTTATATTTTGGTGTTTTTTATTCTAGTCTCGAACCATCTTGTGGTGGAACCAATATATCAACTGATACATTACTTTGAACAATATGAAAGCAACTTTAAATGCGAAAAACAAATTGCAAGCTATTATATTGTAGGTGGTTCCTCACTTCATTATTGTTAAAAAAAACATTATAACACATAAAACTTATAGATATCAACTGGTTCCTCACTTCCTTCCTGTTTAAGAAAACATTATAACTCACAAAACTTATAGATATCAACTGGTTCCTCACTTCCTTCTTGTTTAAGAAAACATTATAACTCAAAAACTTATAGATATCATCTTTGAGGTAAATTTTATGATATTTTCCGAGAATTTCTTGATAATTTGAAATTCTTTCTTTTTGTTTTCAGGTACAAATCTGACTGTGTTTGTTATTTGTATGGCGACGTTAATAACATGTTTCTTAAAATAAGGTACTGACAGAAGTTATCAGGGTAGTAATAAAGTCCAGAAAAAAATGTTGCTTTTTTCTATAAAAAAAATCCTAATTCTATATCTGTTTGTTTTTCTGTATTTATCTGTCATAAACGATGTAACTGACAGCCTTTTTCACGTTTTAATCTTAACTGCACTAAATTTGTAATAAGTAAACTAGAGAAACTGATGCACGTGCTCAGTGTTGGATATACAGGACTGATTAGTGTAAGTGTTGTTATTTAGTTCATTTAGTGATCTAATATTTATTGAGTATTTAGTTTTTATAACAAGAGTGTTAAAAGTATTTTAAAGGCGATAGTCATGACAACTTTCGTCACGTAACTCGGTAAGAATCGCGCTTTGTGAGTGTAGTTTAATTGTTGTAAATCGATGTCACATTACTCGAACTTTCTGTATTTTTCTCGTTGCCTTAAGTGGGTATTGTTACATTATAGCGTCTCGTAGTTTGTAGATAGTTCTAGGCCTTAATTGTGTAATATATATATATATGTGTGTGTGTGTGTGTGTGTATGTATATGCGACCATGTGAGCGCAAGTTAATTAAGTCACAAAACGTTAAATTAGTGAAAGTGAAGTTAGACTGCGTGATTGTCAATTTAGCCGTAACGGGCAATATCTGTAGAGAGTTTCACAGTTTAACTGAGATAAGCAGAATAGTTTGTCATGTCAAAGGGTGTTCTAAAGTAACTGAACCCGCCTGTGTGGACTTCGACGAAAAGTAGGCAATTATTTAAAGTTCTGGATACAACTGTGGTAACCCACGGGGTAACATAAGTGAATTTATCGAAAAGGAGACAATTACTTGTTTAATGCATAAAATATATCACTCCTTTGTTAATGTGAATTTTGAAACCTGTCGTGAAATGAAACTGTATTTTTAACATTAAGTCCACCAAACTGGGTGAGAGTAATTGACTGAAGTCCAGTTCCATTCTGCTATATTTATGGTGTGGCTGCAGTTCTCATCATAACTATGAATGTAAGGTTTCGGCCCTTATAGCGCCATAAGGAACTAAGAAACTGATATGAAGAAGTATGAAAAATTACCATATGGAGATATGCTTCGAATACTGTTTGGATAAATAGGTATGGATTCTTGGAGACTAGTCTAGATCTGATTGTGAAATGTGAGATATGTTTCGTTGTAGTTAAGCACAAAGCTGCGCAATGGGCTAGCTGTGCTGTGCCCACCATGGATATCGTGATCCGATCTTTAGCGTTATAAGTCTGCAGACATACCGTTAAGCCACTGGTGGATCAGAATGAGGTAATATCATGACATGCACCCTATTTAGTTAGTTTTGATTTCCTGTATTGATTTGTTTAAGTAATACCACCTGTATTGTAACGTTTTGGGTAATGCAACGCTAACTGAATTGGTGAAATTTCAAAACGACAGGTCATACCTCATAAAGCATGATAATGCACTATGCTATACTACACCCCGTGTTCAGTATTGCCAATAGTATTTTCCATGGTCAATCCAGAAACCCAATTTGAATTAGATTGAGTCGTCCTAAAATTTTTGAGAACATCACCAGAGAAACAGACC